AGACACCAGAACTGAGAACCTGTGTTTGTCTGTCACGCCGACTGAATGGGTTGGTATTTGCATTGATATTATACTTATTATACATGCAGGAAGAGACACTGAGACTTGTTCCAAAGAATAAGCAGCCTACAGATAAACATAGCAAAATATTTACATTAGCAGCGTGGTCGAAGAGAATAGCACTTATTAAATAAGAGGATCGAAGTCATTAATCAACAGCAGCATTAAACCAATCTAATCACGCCACTTCTTCACCTAGTTTTCTGAACAACAGGACCTACGCGTGATCACGGAAAACAAATATATTTCATCTATCAATGACAACACGCTCAAAGGATCTGATGAGCATCGGGACACGGAGGCACAGCAGAGAGGCCCCATATCACCGTCACTAGGTTGTGATTAATTGATAACAACAAAGCAGTGCCTTATGCCAGACTGTCATAAGCAGTAGAAGGAGCTTACCGACGTGTACACTGTCCTGCCGCTATGGCTATACCACGTACCTCCCACTCTACATGGTCTAGATCTCAAAAGAGCTTTTCCTTAAAATTCTATTCATTACATTAATTAACAGTTTGATTATGTTGGGTTTTCCTACTGTAGAAAAATATCTTTTCTTACTGTAATGAGAGGAAACAAACAAACAAACAAACAAAAAAATCACACAAACTTAATTTGTTGCCAAAACGACTGAAGTCAGTATTTTTGTTTCACTGGAAATATTTTCTGTTGAGTTTCCTACCATCGCTGCAGATGTATGGCTCAATTTATAGCCCTTCTAAACTAATGCACTGCATGTGCAGCACACCACGTAGCAGTTGCTTATCCCACAAACAAATGGAAGTATGATTAGATAACCCATTATGCTGCTTCGCAGACAGTTAAAGAAAAGAAAAAAAAAAGTGAAAGGGATTGCTGATGTTAGCTTGCCAGCACCTTGTATTTTCCTTTATACGAGATAAAAGATTTTACCCAGAAAAATTTCCAAGAGACCTGAATGAGAACTAAGAAATGGCCATGCCAGATCAGACTGATGGGCTCCCCTGCCCATTACCCTCTCTCCAGAAGGGACTTCCAGGCAGATACCTGACCGAAGAGTGAAAACTGCACAAACATATGATCTAGTCCCCTAAATTATCTCCTAGCCTCCAGCTATTTTCAACTCAGATGGCTTCTCTGAGCACAATTTGTTTAGTTTCTGTGCATCCAGTAATCTCTACAGAATTACCTTCCATTAACTTGTGCAGTCCCGTGTCAGAATAATCTGACATCCCTGTAAGAGAAAAGGAGCCTCCGATCCCCATTCACCCTCCCCGTGGTTTTCATGGCTCTGCAGAATTAACTGTGCCCCATTCCCATGCTGGAACTTGTCCTTAACCAGTCGCTGCATTAAACGGGTACCTCAGCTCTACAGTGCATTTTAATAGGACAATTACACACTCTGCATGACATTAACTGAAATCTCCCACTGTGTTTCCAACCCTCCTTCACTTCTGAAGTTTCTCGTGTTACTGCCTTGACAGGGTGGTCGGTAACACAGCTCCCCTTCCACAGATCACTCACATACCACCAAAAAATAAAGCACCCAACACACTCATTGAGAAAGTGCCCATCTATACAGGTGTTCAGAAATGGGGAACTGAGCAGTTAATGTGTTATTTGAAGGAATGGTGTTACACTTCAGACTGTACTCTTGCAAGAGTATCGGCCAACACGTGCTCATCAGCATCAGCTCACACTACAAAGAATTCAGTTTCACATACCAGTTTTTATTCATGAAGCTGTTGACTTCTAAATCTTATCCCCACAGCAATCTAATATTTTCCTCAGTGTCTCACCTTTCCACTCTTATTTTCTCTTCTTTTCTTCAGCAGAGCTCCCTGTAAACAGGGTTAATAGCATCTTGTTTTCTCTGTAATGCGTCTGTCCTAACGGTAACTGTAAAGGATGTGTCAATGCCATCAAGACTGACTTGAATTTAAGCTTTCTTAAGCTTTTCTGAAGAACTGATACTAAATTCACTATCTTTTGAAAGACTGTTTTCCACTCTTACAAAAAAAAAAAAAAAAAGAGTTTTGCCGAGCACGTTATTTATCATTTTCAAAGATCAATACAGAAATGGAACTAGTTACTACCCTGTACATTAAATAGATATTTAAGCTCAATGGAAGTCTACCCAATAACTTACGAAGCTGTTAATGGATCAGATCTCACTCAGGTAAGTAACTTAACTTCTCTGACCAGGAGAAGGAACAAGGCAATTTAAAAGGTGCAAAAGTCAAGGGAAAGGAGAGAAACTAGAAGATAGTGTAACTGGAAACACATTTAAAATAATCTGGAAACACCTTCGCAAAGCAAAATCACTCAAGTAGAGAACAGCTGTGGGAAACAGCCTGTGCTATGGGACTTCTGCTATTTCAAGCAAGAGTAGGAAAGACCAGGGCAGAAGTAATTCTGCCCAAGGAGACACGTAGTGCACAGTGTTTGATCTACTAAGTCTTTCCCCTTTCTTTATGATTCTTATCTCAACTGTTCCACACCAGGAATTTGAAATCGGCTGCGCTCCACATCTTGCAAATCTTCCTGTTCAAACTAGATTAGGCTGAAAATAGCATTTTACCATTTGGGAATTTCATTTATAGAATTCTGCCTCTGAGGTTGCCTGCAGAATTCCTCTGCAACTGCTGTCAGGTCTTCGGGAAAAGGGTGTTGTCTTCTTGGCTTTTTTTTTCCCCCCTCCTCTAAACCAATGCACATTTATCACGGTGATCTACTAGATTCATCAAAGATGTAATGAAGAGTTCAAGTCCTCATGTCTTTGGGGGGGGAAAAAAATCAACTCCTTACTCTCCATTAAAATAAATTTGTGTACTTCTAACTTATGAATGATAAAAAACTTACCCAAACTTTATTTTTAGGATATGCTACATGGCTACCATGACTGAAGTTACTTGTTCCTTGAATGCTTTTTGCTGCTCTGATACTGTTTTAGTAAAGCATCCACCAGGTACCCCATAAGTATCAGCTGTCAAGAACTTTTTTTTTTTAAAAAAAAAAAAGCATTGAATGACTACAAATTAAAAGCAATAAAGATTAAACAAAAAAAAAAAAAAGGAAATCTATGCCTGTATTTTCAGCTTGAATCAACAGATTTTTAGGTTTTGTTATTGATAAAGACCATGCTAAAGGCCTGTACATTCTGCTAATTTTGTGATCATGCTAAAACACACTAGTTAACTAAGGAAACTATCAGCATATTCTTGAGCCAGGAACATCAAATAAATGTGTTTGTCAAAATACTCCACCTAGCAAAAGCATTTCCACTCCGTGTCAGACATGTCAAATACCAAAGGCTGGTTCATCTCCAACACACTGCAGATATTACTGTAGTCACACCTAGTCAAGGGTGGTTCTTCTTTTTCTTTTTTTTTTTTTTTTGAAGTATAACAGTATGTCGTATTCAGCACTAATAGACACACAGAACCTACACAGCACTGTAATAAATGCACAGAACCTGAGAGCACCGTAATGACCTATATTCCATCAGCCCGTGAGTAATGGCAATCTAGGTTTACGTGCTGCTGCACTTCAGAAGAGACTGTTTACCAAATCCAACAAAAGCATTATCCAGTATCTATCTATGCTGTTGCATGAAGTTGTAGAGCTACAATAATTTATCACTTTTTTTTTTTTGGTCTTATTCTTTTCACTGCTTAAGGAACCAGAAAAATCTTGCATTACAAAAATGTCTCAAACACTAGCACTTCTTCCCATTTAACACGTTACAATTATTTTTACACTAACTTTACCCAGAAATAAACCCGCCTGGCATATCCTCCCAGGAATACTGCTACTAGACTCGTTCTGACACCTTTCCAAAGCAGTCTTATTTGACCCTCCTGGACTGGGCACATCAGGGGCTTGGTGTGCACACCACGAACACGCTGACTCTCCCCCTCCCATGAAGAGGAAAAGGCTGATGCTTTGCTAGCAATGCTTCTAGACTAAACAAGCTAAGTCTAAGAGTGATTAGCACTCTTTGTTCCTTTGTCAAGTTAAGACACTTTCCTTGTGGTATTTTTAATTAAACAAAGCGTCCATACAATGGTTCAAAAAACATTACCGGTTTTATCTTTTTACTCCTAATAATAACCTCTTGTAAAGTAGTAAAAATAAATATGAAATTACATTCATTTACGTTAGTACGCATATGAAGGCTTAACTTCGATTACTTCAATGCATTAAGACTTTACGACGAAGTCCTTAAGCAATCTGGACCGCCGCCAGCCCTCGCAAGGACACGTCCAAGCGCTCTCACCACACATCGAGGACACCGGCTGTGTGGCACAGTGACACACCACAGCCCAAGGAACACAGGTGAGTGGGGATGGAGACATGTAGGAGGAGTGGAGAGCAAATATGTTGTCAGAGAACCAATAATAAAGTGTTAGAAATACACGTACAAGGCGATCTGCAAGCTTCCCCATCGCTGTGTAGAATTCCACTCTCCCAGCACAAAATATATGGCCAGAAACGGTCAGATAAGGGAACAGAAGGGAACTCCAGAAACACGGGGTAATGAAACGCAGTATGTGCACATATATGTGAGGGGAAATATAAATAGATGGAGGTTTACTTCTTGGCTTGCAACTTCAGCTTTTTTTTTTGTTAGAACATAATAAATTTGCCATTAGGGCAGTTAAGGTCCAGGTGTGCCTCGCCCTGTAAAAATCTCTCACTTGACACATTTTAGAAAGAGATAATGTATTTGTAAAGTATTAAAGGAAACATTTGCACTTCTTCTGCTTAATGAACCAGAAAGATACCACTAAAGATCCAAACAGTCTGCTCATCCTTAGTTACTAGAGGACTTGACCTGGTGAGGCCACTTCACCAGTCACACCTGAGGCACTCCTCCCAGTTCCTCCCAAGTTGTTTTTTTCTTTTTGTTTTGTTTCTAATTAACCACTTCTCACTTCTAACCATGAATTCACAGCCATATAAATCACGTTTAAAAGAGAGAGTTGCTGTGCCCACTGAGAGAGAGCTGCAGCATCGCTCCTGCCACCTGCCCTGTCAGCTGAATGACATTTCCAGCACTGATTTACTACGGCTACGCGGAGCTGGGATGCACAAGTGTTTGCAAGCTGTCTCTCACAAAGGAAAGGTATGGACTCCGGCTGAGATAAGCACTGGAGTTATTCATGGAGAAACAGACCTAAAAAGCAAGAACTGAGGCCTGGTGACACAGTGAGCTTAGGAGTTCTGGAAGGAATACAGATCAGCAGCACTTTCATGCCATCAAAAATGGTGTTTTAAATTAACAAAGATTAAAATTTAAGTTACCATACAATAATTTTTAAACACCACAGCTTATTATTTTAACCAACCAAAAGAAAGCAAAAATAAATTCAGGGAGTGCCTAAAGACAACTGGCCTGCAGTGCCTCCAGCTTCATTTCACAGCTTCGTTATGAGCAGAGTAGAGGAAAAGAAAGGGGACAGCCACAGAAGAATTTTTTGCTCTTTTTAAAGATTTTTTTTCCCCTCAGGGCCGCACCACAAGCACACACCAGGACTATGGCCTTTCGCACAAATCGGTCTCCACCTGATCCAAAGGCCCGGGACCCTGCTGCCCAGGGGCCAAGAAGAGGCTTGGTGACTTACTGGGACCTGCACTGACACCACCCTTCAACCTCTGCCTCTGGGGCAGGCAGAGCAAGGGAAGTTGTGTTTTCTAAAGCTGCACCACCTGCTAATATCGAGTTTAAAGTTTAATTTCAAATTCAATTTCAAATTTTGGCAACCTATACCAAAATGTGATTTAAGCTACTATAATCATTTCGAACAAATGAAATATTCAAGTAATACATTAAGTTTTAAAGAAAGCTAAACCACTGATGGAACTGTTGGAAATCCCTGACACAGCGTTTACAAAGAACATTTGTTCGAAGTGTTAAGCAGCATGCTTTTATGGGTGCACAGAGTATTTTTAATACCCCAACCAGTTTGTATTCAGCTACCTCCAGTACTTTGAATGAGCTTCAAACTTTTTATCTTTGGATGTATACCTGCCAATTCTGAGGACAAACACCATCAATTCTGAAATCATAAAGAATAGCATCAGATCATTTCACTACTTATAAAACAGTACTTTTTCCTAGCTTTAAATTCATAAGTTTTCATGGATAGTCTCTCTTTAGCCAGTACACTGCAAAAATAAACATAGTAAACATGAACTGCACTATTCATCAATTTCCCACTTCATAAACAGTCATGTTTAAAGAATCTGCATTAAAAAAAGGCTAAGTTACCTAAGTTAACAAAAGCACAGCAAAAGAGTAAACCTGCCCAATTAGGAAAAGAAATACCAGATTTACTGAAAAAAAAAAAAAAAAAAAAAAAGGAAAAGAAAAAGAAAAAAGACCTCAACACTAGTAGCAGATAAATTGTTAATGATTCCAGCACAGCTATTTCAGTGGAAAAAAAAGGTTTGTTTTTTTTTTCTAAATCCAAAACAAAATTACAATCAATTACATGAAACAAGGGCTTCTGCACGTTGATTTGAATCATTTTCACTTTGATCCACCCTGGGCCTAGCAGACATTTCTTCTGCTATTAAGTACTCAAAGGTGTAAATTACGGCTTGAAAGACCTACTTAAAGTAACAGCTATAATAAGCTTCAATATTCCAAGAGCAGTCCAATCCTTTCAAAAGAAAAAGATTTTAAGCCGCATAGGAAAGGCGTGCAGCAACTGACACAGGGAGCATCTCTATTTCTGGATGCGAGTCATTGAAAACTGATTAAAGTAAAACGCCGCAAGGACACGTCCGCATCCTGAGGTATTGTTCCTTCAAAGGTAAAACAGCAGGCGTGAAACTCAAACGATTAAGGAAGTTTAACCACCAAGCAACAGAACAGGAGCTCTCGTATCGTGGTATTCTGGAAATTCTGCTGAATAAAAGTGAATATAATTTACATGGTGATGGTATGCATCACCATTACTTGCACTGTGATGGGACTGGGCTCCCAGCTGTGCCAAGCAAAGATTTCCTATACCTGGAACTGAGGCACGAGGCAGGTTCTGCAGAGATGCCCGGCCGAGAAGCGTCCCAACCACCCCAAGCAGAGAAGGGAAACCGCGTGAGGCTGGACAGCACTGCTGACAGCCACCAAGATAAGCTCCTTGCTGCTAGGGCGGCCAAATCTACACATTCAATACGGCACCAGGTCTGGAGGCTGCGCAGGACAGGCACGAAGGTATCACCACCCTCCTGAGAGGTGAGGGCCAGGCTGTGTGGTGGAAGCCTATCGACCGTGCGGCAGCAGGGCTCGCGCTGGGATTTACGCTGGAAGAGAGAGACACTCATAATATCCTCTACGCATTCATCTTGGTGCTTTGGGGGAATCAAATCAGCACTTCAAGAAAAAGAGCAGGCACTGAACAATTTAAAGTACCTACAAATTGCATTCGGAAATGTTCAGGTGTTGGAATTGCTCTTTCTGTCCTGATAAAATAAAGCTTTCTAAATGAATTTTAACGTATCAGATTGTCATGTTTCTACGATTTGTAAGGTTGATCTATTTTGAAATAGTCAATTTTGCAGCCTCGTTTCCAGTGATTTGTATTAACATATCACAGATGAAAAAATTAGAAACAGAGGTCGATACCCAAGCGTTATCAACAGAACAAGCAGTCATCTTCAGGAATTTTTGTTAGTTTTGTTTAGCTTTGTCATTTAATTCTAATCCAGCAAACACTCAAAATTGAAATAAAGCACAAAATTGTACCCAAACTATATGAGAGCCTCAAGTAATTACACTGAGAAGGAAGGAGAGAGGAAGAGAGCAGTCACACATAAGGCTGCCTATCTTAATTGCACCACAGTTGTTTTTGTTTTCCTTACACATTCAAAACCAATCTTTTTGTATGCCACTTCGATAATTCATATGCAAGCACTGCCCACTTACTCTAGCTTCTGCAAGCAAGCTCTCCCTAAAAGCTCACTGTGGATATCATAAAACCTCAAGTCATTGACAAAGTAACTTGTACCTCTCATCCCCCTCTGTATGCCTTCTGGAACATCAACAAGGAAATACCCATTACTACATCAACGGGACTTGTTTTTAACTACAAACAATATCAGAAAAATAATAAACTCATTCCCATTTGTACAGTAGGAAACAAGGAATCATTAGTAATATAAAACACATAATTACAGAAAATCTCAGCAACCCCCTTCTGAATTTAGGTCTCACTATCTTATATACTTCCTAAATGTGAAGGACCCTGAAAGATCCGTATGACCCGTATGATACTGAAGTGCAGAAATCAGTCTGGTTTTTAACTACAGTAAACAGTATGGCAGCAAAAACAGAGATAAACCAAGTGGACCTTCCAATAAGAAGCAAAACGTTATATATCAAGCATTTCTAACCCTCCTACCTGTATCTTCAAATAGGATATCAAGTAAAAATGCATTACCTGAGAAATTGTTTTCTACAGGGCATTCAGGCTTTTTCCACTTCACGTAAAAACTTTTATTAAAGGAATGTGATCTTTAATGATTCCTCTCTGTTTTTTCCCTCTTTTTAAAGAACTATCTGAAAATTTGCTTTGCGTTAAATATCACTGGTTGGAGATGCCAAAGCAACACAGCAGTACCCTTTAATCAGCAGATACAAGCCTTTTGCTAGTTCTGGAAGGATTTTACTTACAGTAACTTTAAAATCTTTGGATCGCTGCAGCAAAATCTCATTTCAGATTATTCCTGGTTTGGAGATATTAGGGATTAGCATTCTGCCAAGTCATTCCTTCTGAGAAGTAATCAAGCTCAGACACCGGAGTCCCTAAGCAAAAACTGCGTAAAAAGATCCAACAAGATGGGATTGGCATCTAATTGCCACTCTGGCTCCATCAACTTGCTGTCAGATTCACTTTTATTCAGCTCAGTGCCTGAGAAATTTCCAAACAAGGCAGAATGAATCTGCCAAAGTCTGATGTACATCCACACCACAAGTACACTTACTGGACTGCTTCTAAGAATGGGACACCATTTGGGAAAGCTAAGAAAACAACTCATTAGAGCACCAGGAGAAAATCCTTTTCTCCTAGGAGACTACTGTGCCCTGTAATAGAAAATGCTATTAAGCAAAAATGATCTACTGCAAACAAGCGTGGACAATTTACTGAACAAAAAGGAGTTTGCAGTTAAGAAATAATATAAATTACCATATGGGGACAATTGGTATGCAGAAAGTGTATGGGGCTTGCTGCCCCACAACAACAGCAAATACAAGAAGAAGGTTAATGACAACCTTTTGAGCAATAGAAAATGTTTAACTCCAGTACTGTCAGTATCTGAGACACAGTGTAAAAAATGTTTTAAAACTAACAAAAATCTGGTGCATTTCTACTTGTTTGTAAGATGATCAAAACCAGCAAGAGGTTATAAGGGGGGGAACGTGAATTCTGTTTGTTCGCCCCCTGCTTCCACTGACTCCTTGAGTTCATAAAGGAATCCCCAAAGCCTTTGGAAAAAACAGAAGAGCCCAGTGGGTAAGGCTGGGGAGTGAGTACATTATTTAATATCTGGAAACTATGCATGAGAGACCTTTCCAGTTTTATTTTTAGCACAACATATCCATACGTACAAAGAGCTTTAACACTGAGAGGAATGCAATGGGAAATTTGTTTTAACCATACAATTCTAGCAGGTTATTAAGATTGCATCATTATCCTCCTTGGACAGTAATTGGCAATAAGACTACATGCTCTACTCTTAGCTTTTGTTTCACTGATGAGTTGTGAGGAAAAAGAAATGCTGTTCATCCAACATGCTGTTTATTTAATATTCAGCTTTCTTCAACTCTTCTTCTTATGCAAAGCACAAATGCTGATGATCAATTATTTTAGCAATCATAATTCAAGCTGAAATTTTACACTCTGTAAACACATTATCATGACCACCACATTATGCGTTTGAAAAATTCCAACTGCAGCAACCCATACAAATGAACACGCTGCATTAGGTTTACAGTAAAATCCTGTTCTGACTAGGCACGCGAGGCTTTTCCTAACAGCAAAATGAATGAAGCGCACACGCACTCAGTATTTTTCCACACAGTGCCCCAATGCACTCATTTATGCACAAAGACATTCACACAATTGCCTTCAATCTTAAAAATAAAAATGTTACTTAGCTCTAATGGCGTTACTTCTAATATTAGAGTTTGTGTTTTAAAAATTAAACTACCAGATAAGACAGAAATCATAGAAGAGTTGCTGTCATAGTAATAGGAAAACCTCTTATAAACTTCATCAGATTGACGACAAGAAGAACCAAGTTTTCAGAAGCAACTAGATCTTAAGAACAATCTGAAACACCATCGCATGTAGTGGTTGGCCTGACACACCCTAAAACATAAGTCTAAAATTAATAAAACTTTCCAGTATTTAGTCTATACTCTTTATGGGAACACTTTACACACACGTACACGTATTTGGGGCACGTATAACATACACTGCATTACATTTCGCTGATAAACCACAAGTTTTCTCATCAACGTTTCATGAAAAAGCTTAGCAAAGAGTTTGACATACCATGGTGGGAAGAATGTAACAGTAAAAGGCTGAGCAGGGAAAAAAGTGGGCCTGCAGCTGAAGGTGGCAATGATTCAGTGACAGCAGATGGATTATTTGAGACAACCTGGCCCAAGGGACTAGCAGGGCTATGCCCAAGGCTGCTGAGGGCCGATGCCATAGGGAGGCCACAATCATCTCAGAAAGGTCCTGGGGCCTGAGGGGAACCCTGATGACTGCCAGGAGGTAGATGTTGCACCAGCTTCAGATAAAGACCTAAGGGAGTATTTAGGGATCCACTTTGGTCTCTGAGAACACCACGGAGCAAGTCCTCTTGGAACACGCTTTTGGGTCACAAAAAAAGGTGCTTTGGACCACACAGCATTGACCGGTGAGGGGTGAGTTACCCCTGGTCAATCTGATTGCCTTATCTGAGGAAAACGATTGGATTTGTGGGCAAAAGGAAAGCAATCCATGCCATCATCCCAACTTTGGCAAGGCTTTTAACACTGCCTGCTACAATCTGGGATGTCACCTTCTGGATGGGACACCACCAGGCAGGTAAGAACCTGACAGACTTCCTGGGCTCCATGGGCAGAGGTTTGTCAGCTCCTCAGTCACTCTGTTTATTGCCTCTGGAATATTCGACTTTGAAACCTGAATAATGTTATTTCAACTTATTTTTTTTTATATACAATAAGGTGGCCTTGGTAAAGAGAACGACATCAGCACGTCCACATCCAGCAGTTCCTGAGAGGTATGAAATTTTTGTTTCTAAGACATGCACACCGTCTTCAGATAAAATCAGTGCAGAGTCCTCAG